GAGTCTGGAGGCCCATTTGGACGCATCTCAGTGGGAGGCCCCTTCGGCAAGACAGAGCCCCACGGACCCATCAGGGGGAGGGCAGACTCGCCCAGAGCCGGAGACAGAGCCGCTCAGATTGAACGGGGTAGGTGCGGAAGATGTCATTGTGGTGGAAGGTGATACTCCCCCGGACTCCCCAGCCCGAGCTCGGACACGGCGGTCCTGGCCAGAGGGCGTCGCGGAGCCAGACAACCAGGAAGCCTCAGTACCACCACCAGAGGCCACTATGTCACCCAGCCAGGAGATTGAGGCGAGAGGGCTACTGGAGGGGTAGAGGACGGAGCCCTGCCTGTCGTCGACTCACGTTTAGCCGCACACGCAGCTGAGCACCCTGACATTGAGGGGCCCAGCCTGGTCAGGCCATCATCGGGGCCATCGGGTACTGAGCTAGGGGAGGGTCCGCAGGCTGCGACTGGGGAAGGCGCAAAGGCAGACACAGGAAAGGCGCCAGACGAAGCCGCCCAAGCAAAGCGCGCTAGGGTACGAGCTCGCCTTGAGGAGATACATGAGCGAAGGGATAGGATGGAGGCTGCAGGGATAGCGCCAAGACCACCAGTCGCCCCCAAGACAAGTGAAGAAAGGATTGACGAGTTGTGGGCCAGGTATGAGGGGCGGAGAGAGGCAGCTCGCCAGAGGGCACGAGAGACGGGCCAGGCGATTGAGGGTGCGGACGAGGCGATAGAGGTTGGGGAGTTGGGGTTTTCTGCTGCCAGGGAGGCCATCAAATGGGTGAACAAGGGGATAAAGCAGACATCCATCGAGGCCTTTCAAAGGTACTCCCTGCTTAGTGATGAGTTGGCTCTCAGGAAAAACGAGGTGGAACAGCTGACTGCCCAACTCGCAGAGGAGAGGGTCGAGAATAAGGTCAGGCAAACTCGCCTGGAGGCAAAGGAGGCTGAGTGGGAGGCAAAGCTCAAGGAAATGGCGGCCGCACTGGCAGTGGAAAGACTTGCCGCCACCAAGGTGGTCGACTGGACTGAGCAGAGCAGGTACGACATCCAAGGCAAGGGGGTGCAAGGGCTGTTTGGCCAAGGGGAGGCAGCAGAGCCATCTCGGCAAGAGAAGTTGGGGAAGGTATTTCTAGACCCAGCAGAGGCAGAGGCCAGAAAGGAAGCCAACAGGGAAAGCTTCGAGTTCAAGGCTCCCACTGAGCTGGCTTCACAGTAGGAAGGCCCTGCTTCAGTAGATACCCCTATGGAGGCGCTGACCCAAGGACCCCAACCTGCACCAGAAGAGGAGGGGGCGGCAGAGGAGTCACTGGCGATTCTTCTGGACGTACATGAGGGAACTCTCGCTGGAGCGGTGGAGTCCCCACAGCCGAAGGCACAAAGGGAGGAGCCGTCACGTCTGGATGAGTTGATAGCAGCCATGGAAGTGGATACGCCGCCAGAGAGGCCTCAGGGACTGGAGGCCCCAGAGCAAGGGCCAAAGTTGGAAGAATTGAGGGTACAGCTGGGCTCGTGGGCCACTGGGACTGACTCGGGAGGACCGACTACTGACCAGAGGCAGCAGGAGGCTACGAGCCAGCCTACTAGAGCCGCTACTCCCCAGACTCCGAGGCCCTGTGAGAAGGCGGAGGAAGCCATATTGGAGGTAACCCGTGAGGGCCGGCCACTGAGATTGGATACCCCTGAGTACCAACCCAAGAGAGAAGTGCAGCGAGGAGAGTCAAGCGCCCATGGAATCGAAGGAGAAGCGGAAGGACCGTGGCACCTGCCCCAAAGTCATGAAGTGGGCAAGGAGAAGGAAGAGGCGCCTCCGTCGCCAGGGACCCAGAAAAGGAAGAAGAGATTTCAAAGGAAATCTGGGGCTATGTGTTTCTATTTTTTGGACGGAGTGCATAGGGCCCTGGACTGTCCTAAATTCCTTAAGGACAAGGCTGAGGGGCGGGTTACTGAGGAAGGTGGCAGGATGTATGATAGACAGGGCCGAGTGGTAGAGAGGGCTCCGGATGGGGGTCGAGCCCAGTTGTATAGGCAAAACCAGGAATAGATGAGCGAGTAAGGGGCTGGTTCGCCTATACGCTAGTAAAAGTAAGGTGTTTTCTGTACATAGGAGGAGTAAGTCAAGGACATAGGGTGTCGCGAGTCAGATACGTGTATCTTAGGGTGTTGCATGCGATAAAGGACCAATGTACGATAAGGTTTTGAGGTTCTTTTCGCGTTGGGATCCAAAGACTGAGACTCAGCGGTGTGATACTTAGGGCACCTAATTGTATTTCGTTTTGTTCTGAGATCAGAGTCTACCTATGGGTGGTGGGAGAGTTAAAACCACCTAGGGTACGAGCCCACTGGATATGAGAGGGGACATAACGCTCGAGTATTGATGTTGAGTTTTGTGAGGTGTTCTATTGTTGGGTATATACTGAGTGAGGTTTTGAAGACTACTTCCCTGTGTATGACGATCACTCTCACTCTCATATGTATGGCTTCCTGGTGTATGATGATTTGTGTGGGATTTGTGTGACAAACAGCTCATATGCTTATGTCTTGTGAGTAAATGTAAACTGTCTACTCTTCGGTGCACTCGTGCGACCTGCCCGGGGGCAGATGCTAGAGCCGAGTATAAGGAGAGGGAGCGCAGTCTGTTTTTGTGAGACAAGTTGCGAAGATCCAAGGAGGGTCTATGAGTCCCTGAGACTCGAATGCTTATCATGCCAAATGTTTAAGTATCTAAGTTGTGTTAGGGACCCATAAGTTGGTCCCTTGTGTGGTGCTGTTGTTATGATTGAATTGTACACTATGATTTATTTGGAAGACTTATCTTCAGAAAAGGAAGATGTTTTACAAAGGTCATGTGAGAGCTCATCCTAGAAAGAGAGGGATGGCTGACAGACCTATTTGAGCGAGACCTCCCCCATAGGAAGGATGATTAATAGATTTGATGGCATAAAAAGATGGGTTGGTAAGATGAAAGACTGAGGAAAGGGAACCAGATTTACTGGCCACTCGGTGAAATTTCTTGAGAATGTCGCAAAATGTTTGCTTTTTGAGGAGTGTCCCTGAGATGTGTGACCCCCTTACCCTGATCAAGTTGGGGAGTCACGGTCTGGTGGATCTGGCGGTGCCTTATGGTTGTGAATGTGGAGAGGTTGCCATCTCCTCGCTGTGTTGTCCCACGGAGAGCTGGTAAATACCTGTCATATGTGACAAGCCTATGTGCAATCCCGCAGTAGGCCTGTATTTGTTGCGACGCACCGTCTGGCCACTCGTGCTAACCTCAAGGCTTATAAGGAAGACCGAGCTAAGCGGTAAAGTCTTAGCACCACTAGGGCGTAACCCCTAGGGATGGCCGCGGACCGGCATAACCTGGCCGCGGGCCCACGTCAGGCCACGGGAGTAAAGGCAAAAAGGGTGTGGCTGCCCGAGTAGGTTTTACCCCTGTGGAACGGCCTGGGATAAAAGTCGAGTCATGTGAGTCTTTCGGGAAGTCCTGATTAAGTATTTATCAGGAGAAAGCCTATCGTGGCGCAACCTGCGAGGGCACTACCGCTGAAATAACAACGCGGTGGGCCGTAGATCTGGCCTGATCACCCAGACTATGGCGGGCCAAGATGGAGACCTAGCGCTTCCGTACTAGACTGCGGAAGACGCTGAGAGAGATTTAAGGGTGCGCACAAATATGGGTCTGATTATGACGAGTTTCTTGAGAGGAGGGTAAAAAGCCTTCAAAGGTCTCGGTTAGAGCCCGCGGCCCCAGTTATGACCCTATTTACCAGGGAAGGGTTGGGGACACTCAACGAGAGGTCGACGCTTGTCTAGGACGAAGGGGCGAGGATGGGTATGAGGGACTTTTTAACTTATGCTGTAGTCCTGATGCGTAGTACACCGGTGTCCTAGTGTCAGGACAATGGAGACCTTGGTTGAAACCCTGGCAGCATAAAGTTGTGTGGGCATGGACCGCTGGGGGCCTCGATCTTGAGTCTGTCGGCTGATCGGATTGGTTCCTTCTCGTCAGCATTTTTATGTATGGATGGATTGATAGCTTTTTGATCTTGCGAAGCGACGGGGACGTCGCTTAATATAGTCCGGTAGGCTGTCAACGCGAATGCCCTTGCAAGGGTATTCGCCCTGGTTTTTCTAAGTGACAGCGAGGTTGATGGTCCAGGCTGTGTGTTCAAACGGCTACCTGCGTATGGGCCAAGGTTATCTAAGTGGGTAGGGTGAGTGGGCGCGCAGTTTCAAGGCGCGCGTGTGATTTTGCCCGTTTGATCGTGCCACCGACGCAGGCGTCTGGCTTGACGTCGCACTCTTGATCAACTCCAATGATTAATGGGTTGGCCTCGCTTACTATGCCTGACCGGCGGCAGGGCTGATAGGTAGGATGGTACGTAGGGCGGCCGTGGCACAGTCAGGGAGGCCGGCGTGATTGGTTGGTAGCCCCGCGCCTGGCCATAGGTGGGGGCAGGGCTTGCGATGTCCCCCTCGGCCCTGAGTACCGGGCTGCGCTACTGCAGTACTACTTTATATGGGAGGCGGCGCCCACTGATCCCAAGTTAGGGCCTAGCCTTATAGGTAATGGTGCAGGGCTATTGCTAGAGAGGTTCTAGGATCGAGACGCGAACGGCGGTGCGGGAGCGGCGGCGCAGCGGAGCAGCGAGGAGGAAGCCGAGGGGTCGAGGGCCCGTTGGGGCTATCCCCCTCAGGCTTTTGCTGGCGGGTGTGGCAACAGGCTGACCTACGGGCCTGGCGAGGTGCCAGCGGTTCAGCCCTAGGAAATCGTAGGCTCTACATAGGACAAATTCTTTTATTGTTTTTCTTTTTATTTATTTATTTTATTTTTTTGGCTTTGTCATATTTTGTCCTCCCTTCCATTAGGCAGCAGTCCCGTTTCCCTCGGGATAGGAGGCAACACCGCGGGGCGCGGCCCGACTGAGCCCCGCGGATCATCCGCTAGGACTGGAGCAAGGCTAAAAGGACTAGTGCGGCCCCTATGCGGGAGGGGCGGGCATAATTCGGGGAACGACCAAGCCTTGTGGGTTTCCATTGAGCTCCGATGCATCGCGTTGCTGCAGGCTGGGCGCGCTATCGAGTGACGAGAGAGCGGGCGCTGGGACAGGAGGTCAGCAAAAACGGAGTAATGGTGACGACAACGTGAAACAAGGGCGAGAGGGGCGGAGTGAATAGTGGAGAGGTGATGAGTGACGGGTGGTGAGACGTTGGGGTCGGATGCAGGCTGGCAGAGAGGCGCAATGTTAGTCGGAGGGGTGAGGGGTTCAACTGCGGAGCGCGAAATAGCAAGGAAGACAGGTTGTAGTGTGGCAAAGTTGTGGGACCGGACGCTAGGCAGCTGCGAGCGCAGGGCAGCAAGGAGAGGTAGACAGCGGAGCGCTCGCCGTGTCACGGAGTTGCAGACAGAGGAGGGTGGAGTGCTAAGAAGGACGAAAGGGATCCGAGCGCGATCCTGCACCGGATACATCCGTAAGGAGGGTGAGTTGGGGCGCTATAGAGAGAGGCGGAGGGAGTGAGGCCGGCAGAAGGCAGGGACGAACAGATGGACCTGGGCGGGGAAGGGCCCCGGGTGCATGCGGAGCGAAGGAGATAGCAGCGAGTGAGTTGGGCGCAGCCTGTAGTGAGCGAGGTGCTGAATTCCCAATGGAATCGAGCAAGGTAGGAGTTGGGGCTGGGGGTTTAGGCTAGGGCGAATCTGAATTCGCAGTTAAAATTAGTATTTAGTTAGTAAAACCAGAGATTAGTAAGAAGATCAGTGCGCGGGAGGAGTCGGGAGCTACGGAGAAGTAAGGAGGAGACCGTTGACGAGCTCGTTTCTGGACCGATTTCAACGAACAAAGATTTTGAGATGCTGCGGATTGAATGGCGCATTTAGAACTTCGGTTTGAACAACGGTTTTGGCGGTACGAGATGTAGGAGCTGCGTGGAGGGGAAGAAGTTAAAAGAGGGGGATGCATCTACCCGTGTTTTAGGGAATGATTCATTCCGTTTTTGTTCAGCCTATCTACAAGACTAGCGTGGGTTAGTCGCGGGGTGGGGTGCTTACCTGTTGACCGGTGAGCTGCTTGTCCCATCGAATGAAGTAGCTGGGGCAAGCCGCGCGGAGAGAGGTGGCTTACCTCGTAGCGTGGTCGAAGTAGTGGCAATGAATACCCACATGTTTGAGCTGCAGATTCATCCAGTTCTGCTCGCTGGAGAAACCGCGAAGCCGCTACGGAAGGAAAGGGCTGTGCAGCTGTTTCGAGCAAGGAAGAAAGACGAGAAGGAAGAGACTTACCTTCTGTATTAGAGGAACCACCCGCCATCGTCATCGCCATGGCTGTGTTCCCCCTACGTGGTTGGTCATGGTACTTGTCTTCGTCAAGCCGGAGGGGTTTATCATGGTGATGGAGCTTGTTTAAGTGTTGCTCGTAGTCGCAATCACTATCGTCATCGCGACCGTTTTTCTTCCCCGAAGACCCGTGCTACCCGTCACCATGCTAGGCTTCAGTCCGGTAGAACATCTGGCACAGCGTGATAACGTATCTCCCGTGCAGTAGCGGTAGGATCGTCCGCTTTGCCCATGTTGTTGATGGCATGGGCAGGAGGCCAACCGTGCAAC